ATGTAGCACTAGTCATAACACATTCCAAATTATCTACCAATTCTTACTCATCCCCGTGACGGTCGTTCCAATCTCCTCAAGTGATCCGAACTATAGTTATAGTACATGCATTCCACTGGATAAAATGGAAAACTCTTCATAGGTATGTCATAAGAATCATACAACCTCAAACCTTCTCACAAGAGATAACCCGCCTACTTAGCCTCAAATCGACATCTTTCTATGCCCTTACCATGGCTACAACCACTATGTAATGAGTTGAGCCTCCCGAGTCTACACTCGTCAACAAGATATGAGAATCAACTTCATTCCACAAATGAACAACTAAAAGTTCCATCAACACACTCACAACTTAAGACAGTATTATACATCAACACAATAAGCAACCATCCATATTTCCTTCTACATCTCAAGCAAATCCTTCTCATCACATCCAAACTACCTAAGTGTAGTTCTTAGACGTATAATACTTATCTCACAACTATCTTTCCACTCACTGAGGTAACAATACAACTACTAAGAACACTACCAGACATAAAAGACAAAAATTACATACTCATATGACTGAATTTGCCGAGCCACAACTGTGATCTATACCTGGCCTCAAGTTCTCCAGACTGGCCTACCTCACAACACATAAACACACCTCGCAGCTATCCACAACATCGCCAATGGTCGGTGCACAACTGATATCGAGTACTCTACATTACATACAAATGAATGGAAAGAAATCGAAGATATAGACTTTAAACTGAAATAAAGTACCACGATAAGGAAAGACAAAAAGGGATGTGTTCCATGATGACTTGTGGGCGCTCGAAGATAATTATGGACATCATTATACCGATCCGTAAGACTCTACGAGACACTTACTCATGACTCGTTGAACCTATGAATCTAGAGCTATGATATCAATCTGTCACGACCCATAATCTCACCTAGTCATGATGCCACTTAATCTAAATTGATAGGTAAGTCAAATAGCATATAACATAACTCGAATGGATAATCATCAATAAATATCTAACAAGATAGAGGAAATCAATAAAACTATCCCAAACTTGGTAGTACTGAGCCACTATGATTTAGATTACAATGCTGGTACGAAAAAAGTACAATATTTGTTTGAATATACATAAAGAGAAGTATGAACCCTAAACTATCATGAACAAGTGGTAGCTTTTATCTGGAATGCTGGTACATCTTTAATGCTAGCCTTCGTCATTAACCCATAGTTTAGCTCCCAAAATTTGCACACAAGGTGCAGAAGTATAGTATGAGTAAAATCGACCTCATGTACTCGGTAAGTATCAAGACTAACCTCAGTGAAGTAATGACGAGGTTCTAAGTCTAAAGATACTCACTTTATATGTCTTGAACAACTCAATATCATATATAGTATAGAGAAGCATCCAAGGAACAGTCATAGAATAGCATATGTCAATAATAAAGGTGCATAATGGTAGAAGAGGTAATAAGCATGCTTTTCCAATTAAACAGGTCACGACAAGTACAACTTGCACCAATATCGCTCATACTAAAGAGACATGCACCAAGTATCATGTACTGAAATACCTCTAGACGAATGTAAAGTGTCTATACATGGTAGTGTTCGATTCCATATTTGTTCTAAATGGCATCTATATGAAGTCTTTTACATGAGTCCAACATATTAATGTATGATGATGACTAGCTCTTTACCTCAATCGGACACCCTTCAAGTGTGCAACAACTCACTAACAAGTCTCATGCAATGTATAATGCATCAACTAGCATATATAGAAGATATGCATGATAAAGCATATAAAATGCATGAATACGCACAAAGAATTCACTTGAATGGTCAAAGCTTCCATCTTTATACTCAATAACTCATCACATAGGATCCCACATCACAATCAACCATTTACCTATTGGTTTCTCACAAGCTCCGTATACGCCATCAAGAGAGAAATATGAGAGGGAGATCCTAGCATGATGGATACATATCCACACGCTGCACGGTAAAAACCCCACTATAATTATGCCAATATCACCATAACCTCGTGGCAGAAACCTCGTGCTATAATAATAACAATATCACGTGCCATAACCTCGGTCCATATCAGAGAACCATATGTAGGAATATATGCATATGAATAGGAGATAAACATATATAATGCATGTGGACGGATGAATCACCATGCATGGATATATGTATGTATACAAGAGATGAACTCTACATATGCCTATGTGTACGTATGACTGTGGACTCAACATGTAATCCATCATCAAAATAATCATCGTACCCAAATAAGCATCAAAAACCCAATCATAGTCTTTAACATGGATAATGAAACTCAAGTAGCCATACAACAGTTTAAGGCATATCACAAGATTAATAGTATGGATGTGTGTTCATAATATATGTGTGACTACGTCCAAGTCAAGTACATCAATAATCTGAAGAATAGCTCTTCATGCTCAAAATAATGTATCATTAACCTAAATATTATCTCTAGCATGGCTTATGGTGCTCACGTAGTCATTCAATCAAGTAAAACATATATAGAACAAGTAGAACACACAATCAAACAAGGCGTAAAGTAATCTAGAATCTACCCAAGCATGAATAACCATGGCACATACATATACGCTTGTCACCATACATATACATCATCCTCGCATGTAGCAAACAATATCGCTTATGAGGAAAAATTACCTCTAACCAAAGCTAGGCAAAATACTTACTTTATCCGACTAGTCTTCAATCTCAAATCACGTCAAAACCTCATTCAAACCTTTCAATCACGCAAATTCAAGCCAAACATTATTCAAAAAAGTTAAAAAATTCTATAGGAAGCGATCCCAATCCATAAGGCCTCGATCTTTGATAAATTCCCAAAAGATCAACAAAAGTCAACTCGAGCCCGCATGCCCAAAATCCGAAACCAATACCAAATCCCATTGACCCGCAACTTGCAGAGAATATATAAATAGTATCCAAATTCGGGTCCAAATCGGTGGTCAAAAATTCAAACTACACTCTCTAAAGTTTTTGACAAAACTCCCATATTTTACTTTGAAATTTCATGTTTTAGGTATAGAAATCTAAAGGGAATCATGATATTTAGTCAAAACAAAGTAGAAATTACTTACCTTTAAAATATGGGTGAAATCCATTTCTAAAATCACCTAATCCTGAGCTTCAAAACTCATAATAGTGAAAAAAGAACAATTTTCCAAAATTTTGACATAAATACCCCTGACAACCAGATACCCTTCGCGATCGCGGCCAATACCCACGCGATCACAATGAACAAAATGACCTAGGCCTTCGGTCCTTCTACAAGAACGCGACCGAGGCTCCGCATAGCGCAAGCCATCTGACCGCACCTCTACGCGAACGCACGAATCTGCCGGCGAACGTGCAAGCCAACCTGCCAAACTTCCTCTCTACTACGCGATCGCATTTCACACTTCGTGACCGCGTTTTACCACCAATCTACTCTCCGCGATCACGACTCATCCTCTACGATCGCGTAACACAAAATTCATGCTGCCTCCATTTCTTCTTCATGGTCGCGCGGCTACTCCCGGTGATCACGATACATACCACTGACTACAGAAACCAGCAACTCAACATAGCTCCGAATGATCTGAAATTATTATGAAACTCACTCGAGCCCCTCGGGACCCCGTTCAATCATCCTAACAAGTCCGTATACCTTATTCAAACTTATCCAAAGTCTCAAAACACTAATAACTACATCAAAACCAAGAATCACACGTCAAACCAAAAATCTTCAAACTTTCATAAGTTCAAAATTTCAACTTTCGGCTAGAAGCGTCAGATCAACCGCGGGCTACCCGAGGCTTGAACCAAACATATTGTCAAACCTAAAACTATCATACGAACCTATTGCAAACTTCAAATCACCAATCCGGAGTTGTTCACATAGAAGTCAAATTTCGGTCAACTCTTTCAACTTAAAGCTTTCAAATTAAGAATTGCCCTTTCAAACCACTTCCGAACATCTCATAAATTAAAACCAATCATACTCGTATGCCATAATACGCCATATGAAGCTACTCACAGCCTCAAATCACCCACCGAAATGCTAGAACTTAGAACGACCGATTGGGTTGTTATACATATACTAATATATAGTCTTCCTACTTATCAGCTCCCAAAGGGTTGATTATAAACTAATGGTCGATTTGGGGCTACAATCTATAGAACCTGATGTACACAATGACGACGAAGAAGATATTTAACCACTTATCAGCTAAGCTGAGGATAAAATATATTCCTTAGAAGTATTTTTCAATCCAATGTACTGCCAAATCAACCTTAAAATCTACAAATTTTCGCTTCCTCTTCAAATGGAACTCGCTATTGATGGGCTAAAAAATATAACTTTTACAAGAAAGGTGGAAGAAGGGAGAAGGTACAGCTGAGCTCTATTCAAAAAATGGAGAAAAATACGAGCTAAAAGAGGCAATAATGCTAAACTTAAGAAGAAGAAGACGATGAAGAAGTGGGTTTTGGTTCTTTATTTTTATTTTGATAATAGTTATATTTTTTATAGTGTGGTGAAATCATAATAAATAAAACTTGGGGTTGGTGACTTAACCTTCCCCATCAACTTCACATTAACACTAATTTAACAAGAAAGTCTCCTATACAATATTTAAAACTTGAAGGTAAATCTCGCAATTTATGTTTTAAAAGATGTCATCTACCCATCTCATCCAAGTAACTACTTGGCCGGGCAACATGCCAAATTATATAATTACACACAAATTCTATTCTTACTCAGCTTTTCAATCATGGTCTATTCACATTCTATTAATCATGATAACCTGAAACATTTGATGTAAATATCAAACCGAGTAAGTTTTTATCGGCAGTGACAAGTATTAAAATTAAAATAAAAAAGTGAACCATTTCCACATATCTCAGAAGACCTCGGCGTGTTTCACATTTAATAAAATTGAAATCCTTATACGCCAAAAAACAGTACCAACCAACTCTTACTTATTGATAGACTAGTAAGGAGAAACACGTGCAAAAGCACGAGCCCAACATGAACAAAGTCATAAACTTCTTATAGAGTTACAGTTCTTACATTCTGTTACCTTCTGACATAACTTCAACATTATGAAATCCAGCAAAGTCGTTGTATCATCAAGAACAATGGCAAATTATGCTTAAGAAAAAATCATCAACATCAACTTGCCAATTTTATTCTAGACCCCTCTCTCTCTGCATAAGCTTTTGGTCAACAATTTCCTGTAATTCAGCAAAAAAAGAAAAAAAAAATATCTCGTTCTATCCAGGATGACTGTGTGCAAGGAACCAAGGAGAGTGGATCATAATGATCAGCAAGCAGCTCGTGCAGATTTTGGCGCCAAATGTGACTTCTTCCACACTCTTGAGCAGTAAACAATATAGGAACTAATGTTTCCAAGCAAGGGAATGTATAACTAACAATCACACAATACAGTAGAAGTTAGGTAGTCGCACAATCACAAAATTATTAACTTGAATATAAAAGAAACAACAACAAATGCCAGCATGGATATTAAAAGCATGAATGACTTGAAAAAAATTCTCATTTCACCATACTAAACATTAAATAAATCTTACATCATTCATATACATCTTTCTGATATTAAACATAAGGAAGGAATGCCTGCAGATTGTTAAACAATTATTTACACTTTTTCACTCGCTGAAAAAGTTTTGAAAGCCTTAACTGCTTCACTTGTAAGACTGAAGCTTTACAATAAAAATGAATTTTTTGGAAATCTAATTTCAGTTTGTTCCTAACTTATCCAAGTAATTTAGCCTCCAGAAAAGCTTTACCCCCGTGCAATCAACTTTAATTTATTTTTCAGTTAGCCATAAATAATACTTTAACTTATTTTTCAGTTAGCCATATATAATACTTTAACTTATTTTTCAGTTAGCCATATATAATACTTTAACTTATTTTTCGGTTGGCCTGGTAAGTAGCTCCCACACAATTCAACTTTTAAGCCATCCTTACTCCCAAAAATTGACAGAAAAATAGAAAGTAAGAAAGTGTCTCAGTACATAAAAAGTATATACACACGTAATTTTCAAAATAGGTGGAGTAATGATTGGTAAGAAATTAGCTTTTTCTGTTCCATATCCTGTATAAGAAACTGAAGATACTACCAAAACAGAATAGGTACTATTCATAGCTTCTAATGTTAAAATAACATCTTCTTCTAAACATCCTCTTCTACACAAGATAGCCAAACCTTTACAAAAATTGTGGACTTTCAAAAATTCAATAAGGTTCGCCGAAATTAAAACGCTCTTACCAGCTTATCAACGCGCATCTAATGCTATAGATAAAATACATATTAGCTCTATATATTTCAGAGTTTCATCTAAAATGAGTACATACATCAGTAGTGTCCACTCCCACTCGATGCCAAAGGCAAAACCTTCATCGGCACCTTGGGAGGTGAACTCTTGATGAATGTACAATGACAGGGTATAGAAAAATAGGAATGGGAAAACTTCCATCATTCTTCTCCTTCAAAATACCATGCGCCTCACCTAAATGGATTGATATACTGAACAAAAGGAGAAACAACTCAAAGAAACTATAAAAGAGTTACTTAATGAGAGGATAGCTTAACTACAACATGAACTAAGAATCGTAACTCTAGAAGTAGATGTTACTTTAAGTTCCAAACTCTCACTCACAAAGACCAAATGGGAGAACAAACAATATAAGAGCTTATGCCAAACATAACATTGACAAGCTATCTTCTTTGTGCAGAAAAGACACAAGACATGGATGATTTAGTTTAATTTGTAGTCGTCTTGAAGACAAATGCTAATTATTTAATATATTTGGTCTCAAAGTATTCCTCACAGGTTCCCCAACTATTGCCACACCTAAAATTAGGATAGATTCGCTTAGGAATAAATAAATGAAAAGGTATATATTAACTTGAATAAAATTAATTGCTTTCAAAGTAAGATTTATTTAAAAAAAATTAATGTGCATTGAACTTAACTTAGTGCAAACAACATTAGCAATTGTTAAACTTACCTAATTTTATATATTGTCGTCTCTCTTACACACCAAGAAATTTCAAGACCCACTAAAATTAGCTAGAAAGAAAGAGATTTCTAAAATATATGACTGGTCATTTCCTTGTTATCAAGTGGTGTATTCATTAGCTTATTTGATTTGATCAAGATGCTAAATTGTTTGTGAATCCTACTTATTGTCAATCTTTATAGAGATTAAAGAAGTGTCTTTATATTCACGTTCTTGATTAATATAGGAGGGGGGAGGGGGTTGATAATTACCCAACTCGAATAAGGGGAAATTACAATGAGTTTTCCCCCCTTTATTCTTCATTTAAATAGAGTCCCAGTGGCCTTCAATTTACTGCAAAATAAAGAACCATGTAGTAGGGCAGAGTTAGCAAAAAGTCAAATAGAGTTGAAGGATTTTACGACTTATTAGGATGATTCTCTTAATTTTAGATTCTTTAGTCATATGTGCATGTTGTCCAATTGAAACATCTAAATAAGCATTTTTACAAAAACTTGATGTTCACTGTTTGGGGACCTTGATCCTGTCAAAACTATAAAAATTATGTATGTTTCGTACTATAGATGAGTATGATACCAATATGGTGCATTCCTTCATAGGTGGAGAAAGGTTAAACTAATCTAGATTTTATACAAATCTAGTGGCAATTAAGACTTAAGATTAGTAATCCTGATGAAACCGCATTTTCATTCACATTATCCATACTTACCAAGTAAATTGTTTAACTCTCCCTTTGTTCTCAAGCATAAGAAGTTAGAATAGAAATGAATTTTACCTCACAAATAGAGAAACACAAGCATATTTATAGTTTAATACTATATTTAATTGCACAGTGTTGGATTTTGCTCAGTGCATACTAATCTAGATATTTCTAAACAATGAAAGAGAACCTACCACAAAATTGAGGCGTGCCACACATCACCTATTCCCATGGCAAAATACATATAGTCCAACTGCTTAGGAAGTGCAACTAATGTACTACATAGAAGTTAAAAATATTCTCAAAATACTAAAACATAAAGGAGCACATTACAAACCGAAGTCATATCTGAACTTCACTGCATACTTTCACTAATTGTTCAAAATCAAAACTTGGATACTCAACCAAACTACTTCCATCCTATTTCAAATCAGATTTAGGCATGCACGGTCCAATAGAGACTCGGTTCAAATGGAAATGATTGAGAAAAATCCCAAGACAATAAACTTCTTTTTCTAATATAAATAATATCATGAGGAGAAAACGCAAAAACTGTTCACGGATAAACATAAAGAGACACCAAATTAGCACTCTCGTGTAGGAACTATTACCACTCATGTCGTTTCCAAAATTACAGCATACCCCTATTACATTCTAATAGCAAGAGAGATGTAAGGTTGAACTCATCCTCATATAGAAGGTCAAGTCGACACTCATTAGTGTAGAAATTAGGAGGAAGCATTGTAAGAAATGATATAATCTTTCAATTACACATAGAACATACATCTCAATGTAATAGAAACTCGGCTAACTTACATCATATATTAGTATATGCATAGACTCCATAACTATTTGCACTCCTAAAGTCTCCATGACATAAGCGAAAATAATTATATCCTGTATATCACTTACCAAAGCAAAGTAGGAGAATCAGTAGCCAAAGGGAAAAGAAGGCAATTTATACAACATTTACACATTCGTGGATATATGCATTAGTTGTGTAGGAATACAGTAGTAAAACTAAAATCACATAATACAGAGCATTTGATCACATTGGCTATCATAAGAAATTAGAAGATAAGTATGCATCTGATCTTTGTCTCAACTATTAAAGATCAGAGAATGTATAAAAATTATGCAACAACATAGGAAAAGGATCAACTGGCATACTTTAAGGATTACTCATTAGAAATTAGAACTGGATTTCTTTTATAGAAATATTCAGCAACAATAAGAATCCCGTCCTGGAAACCCTGTAAAAGGAGAATGACAAATCTGCTGCAAGTGGTTCTATGGGAACAAAAAGAAAAAGAGTATAGTTCTACGCCTAGTTACTACATTTCAAGTATACTCACTTAGCTTTAAGGAATCGCAAGGTGAATTTCCTCCACAAGAACAACCCAAAGAAAGATCACTATCAGTGTGACATCCAGTTCTGCTAGATAAAGATATCCCTGTGAAAATGAGGCACAAATATTAATATGCATTGACAAAATTAAGCAACAAAATAACCCCCAAAAGAAGGGAGCTACTAACAAATGACCATCAAACTCCTATAAGCAACAAAAAGTAGCAATAAAGAAAGAAACAAAAGAGAAACCTCGACAGAGTGATAAATGCAGTAGAATCGTGAAAACAAAGACCATAATGAAGAAATTATAAATCCAAACCAAAAATGGAGGGCGAAAGGGATCAATGGTAAGAAAGAAGAAGGGAAACCCAGTAGAGCAAAAAGACTTCTTCGCCTATCCCGTTCTATTCAATTAAAACAAAGAAGAAGAAAGATATATTATCTAATTACCAGTCACCACCAAAGTAATCACAAAAAAACTCTTATAATTTACTCCTGAATTGAGAAGTTCATCCTTACCTCTAAATATGAGCCTCCACCCAAAGATCACTATCAGTAGTTATCTGAGGAAAACTACTACTCTTGGAACTTCTATTTGAACCCTTGATGCCAAAACTGGCTTTTTCTCTTCTTTGCTGGAGTATCGGGAAACTCAATTATAGAAAACAAAACACATGCACCCCATAATAGATCCTTTTGACGCCATCAAAGACCTTCAAAGGAAAAGAAATTTACACTTTAAAAGAGTGACAAACTGACAATAGAGAGAAGCAACTCATCAAAACATATAGATTTGATACTAAAAAACTAACGAAGAGAGATAAGCGCAGAAAACATGTGGAAAACTCACCAAACGGAGAGATAGTACTTCCAAGTAGGAAAGGAGTAGCGAAGGAAAATCCCAGGGAAGGTTAGAGAAGACCCAAATTAATGTTGTATAATTGCTACACGTGAGTTTGCTAAAGAGAGGTGGAATCCATGTGTATTCACCAATCGAATAGGCCAAAGTTTATAATAATATAATTTATATTACTTTTTGTACAACAGTTCATCCCTGTATTCGTACACTGTACCTAAATATTAGTAATTATTGAATTTTTAGTTCCAAAGTCTTTATCGCATTTATAGATTAATAAAATAATGCACCGCGAATTACTTTGCCTTGAGCTTCGTAGATTAAAGTCTTAACCTACTCCCCATTCCACGAGTATTTAATAAGAAATTAATTTCTTATTACACTAATTCTAGTTAGAACATAAAGATTACACATATGATGTAGGTAAGAGTAGAGACGGAGCTAGGATTTGAACCTTATGGGTTCGAAATTATAATCCTTTTAAGTTACTGAGTTCTAAATTAATAATTTATACATATTTATTGAATTTCTTAATACAAATTCAAGGTTAAAATAAACGTTACTGTATCCGGTCGAACCCGCAACCAACACTGTAGCTCCGCCCCCGTAAGAGTATAAGTTAATGGTCCCTAATCCAAGTAAGCTTACTAGTGGAAACTTGTACCTTTAGGTCTAGTTGAAATGGAAAAAAGATTAAAGACTTAAAACAAAATAGATCGCGTTACAAACAAATTTTACAACCAAAAATTTCTAATATAAATTCGCAAGGGAATTATAAAATTTGGCATAAACACACTAGTTTTAAAATTTTGAATATAGATTCTAAAAATTCAACAACTAAATAACCAGTTTCTCTATTTTTCTTACTACAACATAAGAAAATTTACATATGTATGTGCCTTACATGGACCAGAGAAGACGCCTCAAAGGGCTCCAGAGGAGAAATAGGGCCCAATCCCATGTCCTTAATTGTGAAAGGGAGTTTTTCGTATATGTACGAAATTTCAAATTTATTTACCTGGTTTATCTAAGTTTTTCTATTTACAGAAAGTAACTAATGTTTTTACAAAATATATATAAATAGGTCAAAACCTACAATTTATCTACAACTTGAATGCAATTTTTTATACAGAAATCCGATCAAAAATGTCACGACCCAAAATCTCACCAAGTTGTGATGACACCTAATCCAACCCGATAGATAATCCAAACAACCAATAACGCAACTCGAATGAAATAATATCAATAATTAATGAATAACATAGCTGAATTCCAAACAACATCCCAAGGATTGCTAGTATAAGTCATGAGCCACTATGATTTTTGGATTATAAATATGGTATAAAAATAAATACAACATCTGTTTGGAATATACATGAACAAAAGCACAAATCCTAAACTACCAAGAACAAGTGGTAGTTATATCTGGAACGAATGGCATCTTCAATGATAGCCTATGTCATCTACAACAGCTCAGCTCCAAGATCTGCACGCAAGGCGCAGAAGTGTAGTATGAGTACAACCGACCCCATGTACTTAGTAAGTATCCCGACTAACCACAGTAAAGTAGTGACGAGGTCTCACGTCAAGGATACTCACTTTACATAAACTTTACAGCTCAAAACATGTATATGTACCAGCAACAATATCGAAATCTAAGCACGAAATTCAGGTACAACCAATCAGTGCACATAGAGAAGGTGTGCGCAAGTCTCTTAACAGCTCAACGTATAAAGAGAATATGTCTTTGATATCAGATAACACGACAACAATTGCATATAGGGAAGATGTGCACAGGTATTGTTCTAACTTAATAGCTCAGCATATAGAGAAGATATGCGTCTAACATCATTAAATCGTCAAAGAGGAGATATGCATGAAACATTAAATAATCCTTCTACAGTTGCATCTACAGAAGATATGCATGGAACGATAAGTAATCCTTCAACAGTTGCATCCCGACCGATAATTTTGAGTTCTAGTATTTTGTTTTATGATTTGAGACTTTGAGTGGCTTCATATGGTATATTATAACTTGTGTGCAAGTTGGTTTTGACTCTCGAGTAGATCGGGATTTATTTAATAGAGTGATTCTCAATTTGGAAGCTTTAAGTTGGAAGAGTTGACCAAGGTTTTACTTTTGAATAAACGACCTTGGATTGGTAATTTGATGATTTTAATAGGTGTATGGTAATTTTGGACTTGGGCGTATGTTCGTATTTGACTTTAGATGTTCCTAGAATATTTTAGCTCTATTTGCGAAATATGGCAATTTGAAAAATTGGGGAGTTCATAATTTTGACCGGAAGTTGGCTTCGGTGCTATCAGACTTGTATTGTATTTTTGAGACCATGTATAGGTTCGTTTTGATGATTGGGACTTGTATGAAAAATTTAGTTGTGATCCGAAATGTCTAAGTGTGATTCAGATACGTTCGACAAAGTTTAAAGGTTTGAAAATTTTAAGAAAGGATTTGATTGTCGATTCGCTATTTTGATGTCATTTATGATATTTTGAGCTTTTCGATAAGTTTGGATAATGTATATGGACTTATTGGTATGATGGGTGGGGGATCCAAGGGGCTCGCGTGACTTTCTAGGTGATTTCGGACCATTTCGGATGATGTTTGTATTGCTGATTTGCTAGTGTCAGGTAATGCATCACGATTGTGAGCCAGGTATCGCGTTCGCGAAGAGGTAGCCGAGCTGTAGGGCTTTGTGAATCGCGTTCGCGATGAAGGATTGCCTTCACAAAGGGTCTGTGCATGATGGTCTTCACGTTCGCATGTGTTGGACTGCGTTAGCATAGGGAAATTGGTAGCTGAGAGCTATGTGTGTCATCTTCGTGATGTGTTAGGCGCGCTGGTCATCATGTTTACCAGCTGGGCTTCGCGTTCACGAAGGAGGATTTTGGTCAAAGGCAACTTTGCGCTTCATGAACGCGAGGCATTTTTCGCGTTTGCGAAGGGTACCGTTGGGCAGACTTATTTAAGATGTTATTTCGGGATCTAACCTATTGTTTCATATTTTGAGCCCTAGACTTGGAGAAGAGGAGATTTCGAAGAGTAATTTCACTACTACCTTGGAGGTAAGTGATTTTCACTTGGATTTGGTTTTATATATTGATTACCCCATGAATTTATACACCTAAAACTTGGGATTTTAAAAGGAAATTTGGGGATTTTTTTATACTTTAAGAGAGTGTATTTTGGAGGTTTTGAGTATCGATTTGGATTCGATTTTGGAATCACATATATTTAGACTCGATGGGTTATGGGTCATCAAATTGTGGTATTGGCTCCGGGTTTCGGGCACACGAGCCCGAGTTGACTTTTAAGAATTTCTTTAAAGATTGAAGTTTTACGGATTGTGATCGTTTCCTATGGCATTGGTGGACTTCCTTGGTTGGCGTTCAGCTAGATTTGAGCCGGTTAGAGGTGATTTCTCAAGAAATGCAATTTTGGAGCTTCAGACTAGCCCAATTGAGGTAAATATCTTGCCTAATCTGGTTCAAGGAATAACCCTTAGAATATGATTTTGTTTGTCTATTCGAAATGTGTGAGAATTGACCTATATGCAAGGTGATGAGCATATATATAGGTGTTACGTATGATTCATGGCCGGAGTAGTCTTTAGGTTGTACTATGCCTTGATTTGGATATTGTGCCTCTTGCTATTATGCTTTATATGTTTGTATGACCATTTGAGCTCCGTGAATCATGCTAGAGATCATGTGTAGGAGTTGATTCACTGTTTGAGCATAATACTTGCTATTGCATGGCGTACCTGCCTGGTTTGAGTTGTAATTGTACACTTCGCACAAACATACACCTTAAAATACTATTTACCAGTCCATGAGTACGTGATTTGATATTCGTCGATGGTATACATGTATTCTTATATATTTTTCTGTGTGATGGACTAGATAGTTAGCAGGTGAGTTATCTGTGCGGTTTTTGGGATTATGGCACGTGAGTTGTCCCTTTGTTGGTTATGATCTATGGCACGTGAGTTGTTTGTGCGGGTTATGACACGTGAGTTGTCCGTGCGGGTTATGGCATATGAGTTGTTCGTGCAGCATGTGGATCAGGATCCACCCCCTTAGGGTCACCCTCTTATGTTCCTCTTTTGATGGTATACACATAGGTTGTGAGAAGTCGACGGGTATCTAGTTGACGTGGTTTATGGAAAATTGATCCTTGGTTGGACTTTGCATCTCTTCTCTATTTACAAACTCCTTGGGTGTATACATGGTTTTTCTGCATATCTTCTCCATATACTAGCTCCGAAACGTATACATGCCTTTATGCATATCTTCTCTATATGCTGCCTTACTTGATGAGATGATTCATGGTACATATCTTCTGTATATGTGAATTCGTATCTCAGTAGTTTTAGTTGTGTGAGTATGTATATTTGGACTTATGTGTCCAATAGTGCCCCTAGGAGTGGGATTGATGGCTTAATGAGTTGCAAGATAGCTATATATTAGGTATTATGTGACTGAGAATTATGTTTAAATGGTTTGGATATGACTAGAAGAATTAGCTTGGGGTGCAAAGGTCTATGGATGCTTAATTTCTGTCTTGATGTGTTGTACAGTCTCGAGTTATGAGTGTGCCTATGGATCTTTCAGTTGCTCATTTGTGGAATGAAGTAGATTTTTATGTCTTGCTGACAAGTATTGACTCGGGAAGAGTAAGTGATTGCATAGTGGTTATGACCATGATAGGGTCATACAGAGATGCTAGTTTGGAGGCTAAGAAGGTAGGCTATCTCATATGAGGAGGTTTGAGGTTGTGTGATTCATATGAGGGTTATATGAATAGTTTTCTTTCTATCCAGTGGGATGTATGTGCTACGAGTAGAGTTCGGATCACTTGAGGAAGTTGACATGACAGCCACGAGGATGAGTATGCACTCAGCAGATGATTTGGAGTGTTTTATGACTAGTATTGCATGAGTTTTTGAAGGATATAGTCGGATAACAGGACGAGATCATGCCAGTTATGAAGGAAGAGTATTGTGGCTTATCAAATGTTATGTACTGTCGCTTCAAGCCTGTCTCGCCACAAAACCGAGGGTGCGACTGACGCTCAACCGAGTGAACCCGACCGAGCAAGC